TAGGGTAGGCTGGTATATAAAAGAGGGGAATGTAATGTGTGTGTAGATAGTGAGTAATTGAACTGCAGTTCAGAGAGCACGAGAGACGTTACAGCGTTTGTTTAGCGCGATTGTTGAAGTTGAGCGTATTGGTAAAGTTGTATTCGGAAATAATAAACCAGTTTTATTAAGAAACAACTTGTGTCGCTTAAGTTTCGTCGGAACGAAGTTACGGAAAGTTAATTAACAAACGGAGACGTAACACATACATCTTACGACTTACCTCTTTTCAGAATGTCAGTTGAAAGTGCAGTACATCATGATGGAATCTCTGTTTTCAGAAAAAAATGCTAGTTACACTAGTACTAAGTACAGCTTAACATTCAAAATGCAAAAGAAAACTTTTTCTACCTGCAATACATCCATCCAGTACATTTTTGGATCCATGAAAGCTTTTGTTTCCCAGTCTATATTCTAACAAAATAAAAAATGTACAAAATTTCTTGTATTAATAACTTCACAATAATCATTTTGTAATATATACTTAATTTCTCAAGTAAATCTGAAAATCAACTCAATTAGGAGGTCAGTGATATTCCACAATAAGGGTCCAAATATCAATGCATATACAAGAATCTTCATTTTAAATCTTATAGAGTTTAAATATTATATTACAAATACATGGCCATGGTGGAAAACTTTTGTGCTTGACTACTTATTTTGGAGCTAAGAATTTGGAATTTTTAGTGCAAGATTCAAATCACTAGTCCACATACCACTAAAGATTCTCACAGAAGTACATTTTCCTTAAACTTTCAAATTTTCTAGAAGAGTCACTTTAATTCATTAAGTAAGCATTATCTGTTAAACAACTACATTTTTTAAACAAATAATGATACCATTTTTGCTTTATGTTATAGTCAACAAGACCCATACACTCCACTTTATTTTTTATGGTCAGTTCTATGTATAACAATGTGGGTTTCTGCTTAAATTAAGTCAAGATGAATATTGTTATTAAGCATAAGTTTAGTTAACACGTCAAAAATCTTGTTCATAAGGCATATGAGAAGAAAGAGGCCAAAACAGGTAGGCAAGTCAAGTATACTCTAGATTCTAAAAGATAATAATTTTTTAATACATATTTTTGATTTAACCTAATCCATGACCTGTTGAGCATTCTTCTTCTGTGCTTGTATAAATGTCTAATTAATCATTTTAAGTTGGGTGGAAGTACTGTAGGCATAATGCACTATTCTACTATGCGATTAAATACACATGATGTTTGTTTATTAAGAAAGGCTATATGGCTTTCCTGTATATTACCAACTCTGTGATTTAAAGCCTATGGAAGTATATAAATGAGTTTTAAATGCTCGATACTCCACTCTATCAAGTGTATTATGCCATTTTCTACCACAGCACTCATGTTCCTATTTCTTGTATTTTTTATTTTTTAAACCAATATTACACTTGATAACACAAATGCATAGTTACCAGAATACAGTACAAATGAATATCCTTATAGGGTATTAAAGTTATAAATAATAGTGAACTTAATTATATTTGGCTTGGCTAAATATATTTCCCCACTCTTGGAATACAACCAAACTACTAAATCAAATCTCATTATAGGGCTAAGTAAACTTAACCACAAATTAAAATCAAATTGGAACTAGCCTTGTGTACAAAATTTAAAGAAAACTTACTACAACAATATTAAGACTCAAAACTTTATTGGTGGAACCAGGCCTTACCTGAAAAGCTTTAAATGTTTTCTACATATATTATCTGTTGTGTAAGAATTTTACTCTATGTCAAACTTAGTCATTTTACGTTAGTGTTAAAGATAAAAAATCTTCTTAATAGATAAATGTGGTACTTAAAAAATCTTTTATAAATGTGGTTTAAAATATATGGGTCAAACGTATAGAAAATTTAAACTTATTCAACATAAACCAGCTAAAGAAATATGGTAAAGTAATGGATCGACATTGCTGACAATGAGGTGAACAATCCTCTTTCAAATAGTGTTAATTGGAAAAAATGTTAAATTGATATAGTATTTCAATAATAAATATAAACTTGATTCAAACAAATTAGAAATATTTAAGAATTTAAAGTTAACTTTATATAGAGATTCTGGTCCAGGGGTGGAAAAATATATTTCTGGAGATGTATTTTAAAAGAGAGATAAGCAGGTAGCAACAGCACTTATGCTAATTGTTAGATGAAAGTTTTGCATCATGCACTAGATAGGAAAAGTATATAAACATTGAAATAGTACATTTCACTGCTGTCTCCTTCCTGATACACCAAAATATGAAGAAGCTTTTTAAGTATGACTTGGTGCCTTCAATAAATTTATAAAAATCTTTATTCTGTGTAATATTTAATGTTGTCCTGTTCAGTTTCTTTATCCTAACCACATAGTTACTGGACTCCAACTTAGCACACACACATCATCATCACTAAACTTTTCAAAAAAAAAACTCTGCTTAAGAAAAAGTTTGGATCTAGGTTCTCAGAGCTAATTTTCATTATCTCTAATTATCTAAATCACCAAACTAACACTTACCCAAAATATAAACCAGGTAACTTAACCATGCACCTACTATAACATACAAGTTCACACAGCTTCTAGTTTTTGTCCACTATTACAAGAAAAAACAAATAAAGTTTCACATAATATTTGTAATATTTAAAGACAGATTTATTCTGATAGTCCTCCTCTGCTCCTTTGTTATGAAAAGTACTGTAAAGACCTTATCCTTGCACAAGCCAAGGGGATGTGAAAACCACTTATCTGCTTTGTTATCATAGTAAGCCATTAAAGTGACTTTATACTCAGCCAATAAAGCAATCTTATTTAGAGCTCAAAGAAGATGACTTGAGAAAGTATCTCACCTGACCTCGTGTTAACTCTATAGCTGGTAAAATCACAATATCCTCATCAGCTAGCTCTTTGTTATTGCTGTCACAATGAAGAGCTACATACAATGGTAGTACTGTGTCATAGTGTAGATGAAAGTAGTTGCTACCATGGTAGTAATACATTGTGACAAAATATCCTCTTTCAAAAACCTGATCACAGTCCAGTTTGTTCATAAACTTGTTCTTAAACAAGTCAAAAGTCCAGATGTCCTTAATTCCAAAGCACTGGTCAAGATGCAAGATGGTTGACTTTTTAACTTTCAGAGATTTCTCTCCTACATGGAATGCTACATTCTTGACTTTACAGTAACTTGAAGGCCAATGTCCAGGAAAATGACTAACATCTTCAATAATACAGGATGGATCATCTTTGTCTGAATCTTCACAATGAGGATCCTGGTCCTCAGTAATTCTTTCAACAGAACTTATAGTGATGTACCAACAAGTCAATAACAAAAATTGGCAGAGTTTTGGGTGTACTGAACTCATTTTCTTAGGATGATCTTCTGCTCATCAACATCCAACAGTATGTTTTTTTTTGTCAGTTCATTTGTATTGTTTTAAGCCCTGCCATATAAAAGTTTATAATAAGAAATCAGATTAATAACCAAGATTATATGTATAAAATTAATATATATATATATATATATATAAACACACACACTCAGAGGGTTGAGTACATTATATTAAAACCATTTCGAGAGCCTAACCACATCATTACATTTGCTTATACTCTACCTAATGACAATGTATCTTGACTATAGCCCTGGAGTATAATTTTCATTGCAAATGCCTCCATCATGAGACTGTGATGCCCTTAGCACACCACCCCTCCCTGCAGGCTTTCCTCAGTTGTAGATGTAAAAAACAACAGCTTCCCAGTACCTGTTTCAACAGTTCAATCATTCAAGTGCTTCATCTCGCAACTTGACTTGTCTTCATATGCTTCAGCTGCTTGAAGTATGTGACAGTTGAATTGGAGGTATGACTGGAAGCCTCATCTTGGTTAACTTGTATTCGGTTGGCCTCATTTCCAGATGGAGGTCCGTGATTATGTTCTATGCTGTTGTGTGGGGCATATAAACAGCTTTTACCACTGACCTGGGTGCTTGTGAATTCTCAACCATTACGAAATATAGCACTTTGCTTACCACATCTGATGTATGACTTGTTGCAGGTCTCTGCATATTTGTTTAACCAATGACATCTTCATCTTTAAAATTCAAATTCCTCAACTTGAAAACAATTTTATGATCCATGCATATGAATATTTTAAATCAGAAACTGCTGTTACATGCTTTTCCCAAAAGTGATCAATTTTTGAAGAAACACCATACAATATTAAGTTGCAGTACTGATACATTCCATTCCACCATAATTCTATACTGCTGTCATTGTCATGTGATTTGCTGATTTACATAATCAAAATTGTGTTAATATAATGTACTCAATACTGTATATTATATTTTATTACAAAAGCCCTAATTCTAAGAAATTACAACTATAATAGCTATCTAAATAGATACTAACTTAGTTTTAAGATAAACAATTTTCTTTACAGTATCTTTCTTCATAAAACATATTAACAGTAGCATCCAATCTCTATCTAATTATTACTTTAACAATGTTTTTCTTCAAAATCTCTGCTAAGGAGATAGTAGTTACTATGTTTGAACACTATCTAACAAAGTTTCTCATTACAAGCTTATTTGGAAACATAATTTTTGAAATATTATTCAATATTTATATTGCATAGATAAATTTACTGTATTTAGGAAAGTTTTTTAAATGTTAGACTGCATGCTAAATTTAATTCACACAGACTGAACATAGTTAATGAAAAACAGGCCTTCAAGCTTTATTTTCAAACACAAATTTTGTTGTTGTTATTGCAAAGTTAATGCCAAAATTGAACATTTTCTTACACTGAAAATGTATTTCTGAAAGGTACTTACCTACTAAAAGTGCAGCAGTCTTTTATACCTCTCAATTTATGCCATTTCTTTTAATGTACTGATCATGTGATCAATCTCCACCATTCATGTTGCAGCATCTATACTGGCACAGCTAGCTACTTCTACTGTTCTAGAACAAACTTCACTTTTGAGAATTGGCAGTTACACATCAGATACACCATTACATCAGTGGGGAGGAAGGGTGGGAAGTGGGTGAGAGGAGCTAAGTACCTATCAGAAATACATTTTCAGTGAAAGAAAATGTTAACTTCTGAAATGGTCTTACCTCCACTTACCCAGAGAATCCCACAATTATAGGTGGAGGGTGCACAAGTCACCAAGGAAGCAGAAAGCAACCACCTTGGAAGCTTCGGTATATAAAATCATGAAGGGAAAGAACACCTGAGGGGTATATATGTGCCAAGGGCAATGCCTTGGTTAACATAAGAGTAAAACAGGTGTGGTCCATCCTGGCAGAAAATATGCAGTGGAAGTGCCTAGTAGAAGAAACTGTATGATCAACAAGTGCAGTCCTCCTGGGGCAACAACATCCAGGAGAAGCATCTTGAAAACGTGATATGAGGTGAAAAATCATCTACAGATAAAAGAGTGATAATGTGGGTTGTCTGAACCCTTTCATTGTTAATATATAGGTGATATTCTGTCCACAAGAGTAGCAAGATATAGTAACAAACGTATTGATAGTGAGCCATAATAAGGTGCCTGAGAAAGATGAAATGACTAAGTGGCTAGGGCTGAAGACCAAGTGTTGTCCACTTGGGCAGAAAACATCCTGAGGAAGCATCTTGGGATATGACAGATTATGTTAAGCACGTTCCATCCGAGCAGAAAACATCCAGTGGAAGCACCTTGCAGAAGACTATGAGATCAACAAGAGCTGTCCACCTGGGCAAAAAATATCTAGGGAAAGCAACTTGGAATATGACAGATCATGCCAAGCACACTCCAACTGGGCAGAAACATCCAGTGGAAGCACATTGCATGAGATATAGAATCAACAAGTGCAGTGTGCCCTTGCAAAACCAGGGGAAAGCACCTTGGATACTTAAGATATGGTCAAGTGAAGTCCATCTTGGCAGGAGAAGAAGCTCCTCGTCATTGTTTGGTACTACAATGATTATAACAATGATAGCCCTCTTCTCACTGAGTGGGTACTCATGATTTATAAATTTTGATTTGTGTTGGTCGTACAAACTACACTCAGTCCACCACTCCAATGACTGGGAACTGGAAGTAGTAAAGACTCCTGTGCTCCACTATAAGAGAGAGAGAGGGGGGAGATTCATGGTGGGGAGTCTGGAGGAACAACAGTGCAATGGGTGTAGGCATTACCCTATTTTGAAAAGCAGAAAACCCTGATTATAAGAATCACAGTTCAGTGGGGATAGATAAAAATCCCTATCTGTTTTACTCATGAAGTCTATCAGTGAATGTTCTTAACATATACAAAAAAATAGCATTTGATAAAAACAAAATTATACACATACCACCAGGCAAGCTGCTAGTGGTCTTACAGAAACACCCCAGGAGAACGACGATACCTGCCCGAGGAAGTCACAGCCAGGTTATGCAGAGAATGTGTGATGAACATATTAGAAGGTGACCACATAATGGCTTGAACGATCTCCTCCAAAGGTCATTGGATTTGAGTTGCCAAAGACACGGTCAGATGACGAATTTGGTGCAAAGAAACAGTGAACAGACAGTGATCTACCACAGACCAGTCAGAATATGCAAATCATAAGAATTGACGAAATTAACCATGGAGGGTAACAGGCGAAAGATCACAGGAAACAGAGGGATACCATGAATAAACAGACAGGAACGAGAACCATAAAAGGAGGCAGGATGAGCCACATAACATATTAGGGTACAAACTGGACAAATAAGTAAATTTGGATCCAAAGGGGAGTACAAGTTGGAAATGGTAGGTAAAGAAATAGGAGAAAAAAAGGAGGAATGGAAAGTAAGAGGGAAATATTAATGGCATAAACATCGGAATGATAATGGCTGAAGGAAAGGATGGGATGGTACAAGGAACACATTACAATGGCTTCCAAGGATGAACTGGACAGGGCATGAAGAACAACACTGAGATCCAAATCCAGAAGAACAAAGGCACTTGGCAAATGGAACAGATGAAAGGAACAGAAAAGGAGGGAAATAACAGGGAAGGAGGCTTTCTGAAAATGGGAGAAATGGAAGGTGTTCAAAAGGGCAGCCCTAAAATGAGCATCTGTTGACACAGACAAGCCCTGGTCAAACAACCAGGTGAAGATCTGGGTCAGATGAAGAACAAAAGGACTTAATGGACAGAAGCCAAAGTCTAAAGGTAGACCACCATCTCTGGTGAACAGACAAGGAGAAAAGTGAATTGGAAAATGAAAGATGATACACAAGGGGAAAGACCCTGATCCAAAGCATGGGACTGGACGAAAGCTATGCGAGAAGAAGAAGGTTGGTGACTTTGAGATCAGTGACATCCAATTGCAGTAGTCTGAGAAGCAACCAGGACAGAGGTAAGGGCAGGGCTGCTGCTCCAGTAAGGACCAGAGCAGAGGGAATCCACCTGACCTGGCCAATATGGAGCAACAACCAGAGCACGACAAGGAGTGGTATGGATAAGGGAAAAGACCCTGAATGGAAGTGTGATGCCAGGTGATATAGCTGACAACAGTGGAATAGATGGAATGAACCATAGCCAGACACCCACCCCCAAAGGAGTGGGAGGAGACGATACATAACCCGACAAGCTGCCAAAACCTCTGGGATGTCAAAAATGGAGAATAGCCACCTTGATGGACCACTGACAGGAAATCTCTTGGGAATAGAAGAAAACTCCAACTCATCAAGGTAGCATCGGGAAATAGGTGAGACTCTGGACAAGGTGGAGGAATGGGTACCCACACCATGGTCAGTACTCTGTCAAGCCACTAAGCAAGGTTGGTCCTGAACACAGAGAAAATGGTAATGGGATGGTCCAAGGGATTGTAGGAGAAGGTCCATTGGTTGAGAAGTGTCCACAAGGGAACATATGTGAGCTCGACTCAAGGGAATGAGAGCTTTCAAGGAAGCCTACATCTCCAAAAGAGAGAAAAACCCTTCATGCAATGAGAAAAAGAAAAGGTATGGTTATCAAGACTGCCCACTCCACATCCCCGAGCTGGAGAAGGCTGGATTCAATGAGGATGGAAATTGAAGAAGAACTCCCAACTGAATAAGATATTGAGTGGGGGTAGGAATGGACATGTCCAACTTGAACAGAAAAATCCCACCCAATTTGCTTTCTGAAGAAGTAAGCAGGCACAATAGACTGACTTGTCATGTGGGGAAGAACAGTAGGAGCCAGTCATCTATGAAAAGTGAACATTGTTGGCAAAAACGTGTACCGCTTGACAAAACACATAGAGCCCCCAAAAAAAGGACAGAATGGCTGCACCCAGAACTGAAAGGCACGACCCTTGTGAATGAACCAAAGAAAATGACAAGACACTAGAGCAGTAGGAATATGAAGAGAAGTATCCATCTTGGTGATTTGGTCAACCAGAACCCTGGGGGAAACCCCCAAAGAAAGAAGTAGGACAAGGCAAGATGACCAGGAGAGGTTTGATTCTGAGGAGGAGGTAAGGTAAATGGATAGGGGGAAGCAGAACTGAAGGCAGAAACCTTCCAACAGAACCCATGTAATGGTCGTGAAGTGTAGCCAAAAAGACATAAAGTAGACATACTAAGAGAAAGTATACATTACTAATAAACTAACAAAACCTGGAAATTGGTAGAGTCTATCAAGTACAGAATAATAACAAATATGCAAAAATTATGAAATTTGACTTAATACAGAAAACAATAAGCAACACCTAATGTAGAAAACCACTAAAGGAGCTTAGAAAATAAAGACACCTAACCCTCTGACCAGCTCACCCTTTAAACCCCTTTCTGCACATGTCATGAGAGTTAAATTCAAAATTTAATTGAAGCACTTTTCTGTAAACGTATTTTAATAAATTATTAAAATTATCAAGTACATTATAATTTAAGGTTTTATATTATCTAAATTCTATTCCTTTATTTAAAAAAATATGAAACGGCAATTAAAACCATAGTTTTTGGTAGCAGGTGAGCCACTGTGGTTAATATTCTCAAGTTTAAGAGGTCTTACACAAGAAACTATGAGTTGCTAATATAAACTGATGGCATAGCTGGTTAAAGTACAGTTCCAGCTGTCTCTCATTAGCTGGGAGAAAACTTCCAAGAATTTCTCCCAGTGTGAAACAGCATTATAATATTTCTAAGTTTAAGATCAGCCACACCCACTTGCAAAGTCAAAGCTGTGTTGTAAAACGACACTTTGAAGTTGAATGGCATGTTTATAACCGATAGAAAGAGCAGATTTTGCACTATTCAGTTATAGCCTGAAGAAACCTCTATCTGTGTATGGATCTGTAGTATGAAATAGAAAATAAGCTTAGTTCATTGTTCCCTTGAGCGGTATGTAATGTTTGGCAAGTGTTTCTAACTTTATATTTATTAGTTTGCTAAACAATTAGATTGCATTTAGATTTTATATTTATATCTTAATTAATTGTGTTTTAAAATGCATATATGAAATGTTTATCATATTTATACGTTTATCTTGTTGTAGTTTGGCTTACCAAAATGTCTAAGCAATATTGCGTCATTTACATGTGCGAACATGTTTGGAATTTGTGCATGAGACTCCCTCTATAATAACAACAGAGCACTACGTGGGACATGTTGGTGTTTGGATAATGAATAAAAGACAAATAATTTGAAAATTGAATTAAAAATAAACTAGAAGTGAAAAGATAAAGACGTGAAATTAGGCATATGACAAAAATAAGTTTCAAACTATTCTACGAAAATTTAAAAGGTATGTACATACTTCTGTTTCTTAATTTCAAACATTTCATTGCACTGTACGTTGATGATGATATCTAGAGTTAATGATATAATAGAGAAAATGGAAAACAAAATATAAATATTTACCTAAAAAAAACTTTGATATTCATTTAGGAAAATGAAAATCACATTGCATGTGAACTATTCAGAGTCTGAGTGCAAATAACTACATTAAATAATGAATGTTTTATTATAAACAGCACAAAAAATCAAAATTAAATATTTTATTTTCCAAAACTACATAATCTAAGGACTGTTCAAGTCAAATTTAAAAGTATTTCATCAACTAGTTTACTTTTTGTAAAGAACTTTCACAAGAGTCACATACCTACTTACATTGTAAGTAGATTTTTATAGAACTTAGAAGTTCACTCAAAGAACCGATAAGACATAGGACACGAAAGGAAGACCTATCCCAAATAACATGAAAAGGCACCCTGTTATTTTTTTTTGACTAGTAGCAAAAACAAAAAGAACTTACAAATTAACTAACATAAACAGGTAAGGCAAGTATAAATAATGAGCCAAAACACTCACAAATGTAGCAGAGGTTACAATTACCTAGGCTAAAGAGTAACCAACATGCAAAATCTGCACTTATACTGAAAATTAATAAAAAACCATGAATAATCAAACTCCAATCGCAAAAGTAAACTAATGTACATGGTAATAGATTTACAAAAATCTAACTCACGAAATACTGAGCCGAGAAAACGTGAAAGACCTAAATTATCGCGTGGGGAAAATAGGCCTAACCATGCAAGCTCACATAAACAGTGAAACATGAGAATACCTACTGGGAGTGAGGAAGACGATTTGAAAACTTTACCACAGATCTCTTGAGAAAAAGAACAATACCTAACCCAGGAAATTACTAGGAGGCATGGTTTATTGTTTGTTTGTTTGAATTTTGCGCAAAGCTACATGAGGGCTATCTGTGCTAGCCATCCCTAATTTAGCAGTGTAAGATTAGAGGGAAGGCAGCTAGTCATCACCAACCACCGCCAACTCTTGGGCTACTTTTTTACCAACGAATAGTGGGATTGAGCATCGCTTTATAATGCCCCCATGGCTGAAAGGGCGAGCATGTTTGGTGGGACATGGATTCGAACCTGTGACCCATAGATTGCAAGTTGAGTGCCCTAACTACCTGGCCATGCTGAGCCTGGAGGCATGGTAACAAGTAGAAGATGACATATAAAGAATTTTCCACTCAGTAGGTACAACCTTCCTCAGAACAAAAACGTGAAAGAAAGAAATTGTCCACTAAACATAAGACAAGAACTCTCCACGAACTGCAGCTTGGACTTCCCCAGCAGGCATCATCGACCCTGAGACTTGAGGACCTGTACAGAAACATTGTCTACTTTTGGTGGGAAATTCGACAACTGCCATATTAAATACTGAAGTCAATATGAACAAAATAAAATTTGAAAAATAGAAATATTTCTGAAACAAACAAGTAGAAACAATGGAAATCACACACAGGAAGTCGAAATTTAAAGTAGAAACTGATAAAAAATGTTTGATTAAAAACAATCCAATATCTGTAGTCACATGTAAAGCGAGTGAAAACACATGTCTGAACACTGGAATGTCAATCAAGAAAGTGATATTAGTTCTGGAATAGTAGAGGAAGCTAGCTGTACCAGTATAGATGGCACAATATGATTGGTGGAGAATGATCAGTCCAAGTTAAAAAAAAATAGTGTAAACTGAGGGATATAAAAGACTGGTGCACTTTTATTATAAACTTTTAGCAATGTTTATAAGCCAGACCAGGATCAAGATAGCTCTTGATGAGAGGAGGTAAGACCATTTCGGAAACTACTTGTAAGGGATTATTCTAAATTATAAAAACTTACAAACTTCCGAATATTTGTAAAGTAAAAACAATGAAGAAAGAGAGAAGATTAGTTGCAATCATTCTTTTTTGCTGTTATGGATCACTGTGGTGGCTTATTTCCTGGTGAATTGTGCGAATAGTGTTATAAAATAAGAGGATTGGCAGTATTGGGATATGTTTTGTAATGTTTATGTATTTTGTGAGAAATTATATTATTACTTCTTCCTTTAACAATGGGCATCTATTAACATCTATAATCCTATAATTATATATGCCTACCTTCTATTAATAATAATGTTAACATTTTCCTTACCTGAAAATGTATTTCTGACAGATACTCACAGATAGCTGTTTTCTTATTGAAGTCACGCATATCTGCCCTGAAAGATTTGCATGCCACCAGCCTTGTGAAAATTCCCACTTAAATTAACATGTGTTCAAGTGAATTTGTGCTATTACATTATGGCGTATCATGCAGAAAAATCCTCTACCAATAGAAGTACAACACACTTCTTGAACAAATCCTCCATCTACATTTATGTACAATAATCCTCATTCTCTAACTAGGCAATAAAGAAAGGCAGGGAAGATGAGTGGGAACATGTATGAAGGGGAGTAACCATCAGAAATACATTTTCAGGTAAGAAAAATGTTAACTTCCAAAATGAATACTCACCTCCATACCCAGATAACTATAATCCCACATTGATATGGTGGAGAGACCAGTGCAAATATTAACCTAGGTGAGCCTCCTCCTGAAAGCATCCAAAGGAAGCCTCTGTGTGACACCCAATGTTAGGGTTCTCATTCAGGGAATACTCTTTGCCCATTTATAGGAATAGAAGAGGCTAAAAGCCTGAAATCTGTCACAAGGATGGGCAGAAGAGGTATGGGACTATCTGAGCACTCATACACAAGCCATAGGACAGCCAATATTTGTATACAGATTGGGGCTCGTTTAGACCATACCTTGTGTGCTCATCTTCTCTACCATCAGACTCAATGGGGCAAAGTCAGTTGTGGGAGAAGAACACTTGTGACAAGGATCCATGCACATTTCAACTGCCAGTCACTACAGGTCCCATGCTAGCTGCGAGAGGAGAGTACTGTATTCAAATATGTCATTATGGATACTCAATAACCTCTTCTCAACCATCAGTCTCTACAGACCCCTTGCCTGCTGTTGGAGTAGTGTGTGAGAGTGATACATCACAGTTGGATATGGATTAGTTTCATTTCCTCTGCTGTCAGAAACTCAGGTTCAATCCAAATGAAGAAGCATGATTAGTAGAAAGATACCTATATACAAAACTGGTACAGTGATATGTATCCAATCCACTTGAAGATTGTGATACATCAAAATTATGTGTGGTGAATCACACTACACTCTGGAAACACCCCAGCCCCACTTTTCACACAAAGGGACTCCTTGTTCTACCCCAGTGGTTAGATCCACCACCCCAGCAGTTGGTAAGCTGGTAGCTGGTAAGTAGCAATGGTCTCCCATGCTTTTCACAAAGAAAGGAAAAATTCACAAAAGAGGAAACCCCAAGAATGTGCCTGAACTACCATCAGTCTCATTGTCCAGAAATGGTCTTTTAATGGAGATGGTGCAAATGATGACTGCCAAATCATATTTTTAAGCCCCAGTGAGTGCTAGCTAAAGAAGTGGGTAGATGCATAACTCTGGTGCAGGCTTTTTTACGATAGTCCATGGAATGGGTACTGTCTAGATTGGACTTGAAATGTAACATAGAATTACCACAAAGAAACCTCCAGTAGCCTTGCAGAACACTTCATCTCACCATGGTCACTTACACAGCCAGAGCAGATGGTATGAGTACTATTTTTTTTATCCTGGCTCAGTGCAGATTTTGCGTAAGTATATCCTGAGAAGCAACACTAGCTGACTAGTGGGATCCTAAAGTGGATTAACGGCAATAAGGAATAAAGTACACTTTAGCATAGGGTGGACTGAAATTTGGCAATAGTTGGAAGTTGGAATCTCTCTGGAGACAAGAAGCCAGATGATGGAGATAGTGGGCAATGAATGTGTGTAGAGTATTCCACATGCCTGCCTGGACAATTTATTCTAGTGGTAGATGAAAATGAGCAACCAGAGAAGGAGTCAGATTGTCTTATCTGGCTGGAAGAGACATGAAAAAGCCAACAAAGGCATAGGGTGGATTGAAATTTGGCAATAGTTGGAAGTTGGAATCCCTCTGGAGACAAGAAGCCAGATAACTGAGATAGTGGGCAATGAATATGTGTGGAATATTCTACATCCCTGCATGGATAATTTCTTCTAGTGGTCGATGAAAATGAGCAGCCAGAGAAGGAGTCAGATTGTCTTATCTGGCTGGAGGAGACGTGAAAAAAACCAACAACTATCCACCCCCAAGGAGGAGTAGACCATTCAGATGTGTTGGCAAATCCATCCAGTAAGGTTGGAGAAAGAAAGGTCTCTAGTAGAGTCCCATGTACTGAAAAGCCAGTGATGGGAACCCAGAAAGGAAAAAGTATGAGAAAGATAACAATGAAGAGCCCAGACTGGTCAAAGAAGTCTGTCTGGGTCAGAACATCCATAAAGATGGTAAATAGAGGAAAAGGAAATGGGAGAAAAGGTGTGACCACCCTCCCAAGCAGCAAAAGTCTTATGTAGGAAGGAATTATGGGGGTAGAGAATAAGGTATGAGTGGTGGAAAAAGAATCCAGGAGGAGTCTATGGCACAGATGTCAGACCGACAATGACCACAGGCAAGAAGGAGAAAGAAATATGTTTTGACAGAGAGAGAGATGAGATAGAGAGCAAGTGGCAAGAGGTTCAAAAGGATCTTGAATGAGTGCATGAGGAATGGCATTCAAGTCTCATTCAGACAAGGGAGTGGGAAGAGGAGGTTTGTACAGTAGGAAGGAACAGAAAGTATGGTAAGAACAGGTGGATAGGGCCACCCGATACCCCACAATAGTAGAGACAGACAAGTGATGGTCAAAGAACCAAGTGAAGAAAGAGATGAGGTATTGTAATGTAGGTCGACCAAGTGGAAAATGAATAAGGAGAGACCAATGACAATAAGTCTACCATTTCCATTGGCACATAGAAGAGGTGAAATATCGATAGGAGTGTGAGAGAAAAAAGGCTACAAGTTTGGAAAGCCTGGATCACTGTGCAATGGACCAGACAAATCCCACATGTGAAGATGAAAGGATGTCACGTCATCATGTGTGTGGTTGTACCAGAAAAGACAGAATGGTGGGAAGTGAAAGGGGGCTTGGATGAAAGAAAACATAGTAGTCGAAACCAAGATTGAGCTTGCCAATAGGGAGCCACCAATAGTTTTCTGCATGGGGTGTCCTGAACCAGAGCACGAAAACAGGGGAGAAGGCATAGAAGAGGATAGGCTTAGAGGAAGAATGAGACCAGTCCTAACTGAGAGTTTCTAAAGTCAGGATTGATGGATGAGGAACAGCAAACAAAAACGGAGAAGTTTGGCACTGAGGATAAAGGCAACTGGATCTATTAGAGGAGTACCGAGTTGTGAACGCATCCGACACAAAATTTGAAAGTGAAGCAACTATTCTATGGATAGGACACAGTCCTGTAAAGAAAGATAATCTGCTACTATGTTCAGAACATGGCTGGCAATTAAGCTTACCCAATTGGAATGGGCCCTATAAAGGAGGTCCAAAGTCTGGAAGCAGAGGGTCCTGGAATGGGTGCCCCTTGTCAATTGATGTGGGACACAACCATCGAGTTGTCAAAGTGGATCATAACCAAATGATCCAACTATGAGGGGAAGGAAATGGGTCTGTACTCATAGGACAGTGAGCAGTTCTAGGATGTTCATATGAAAATAATGCTCCTCTGAGGTTCATCAACCTGAAGAAAGAGAGTCATTTATGGATGCTCCTCACCCAGTGAGAGAAGCATCTTTAAATAGCTAAAGGTCTGGCTTGGGAGGAGACAAGAGAATAGAGAATGTCAGAGGTGGTGTTGGAGCAGTTTAGCCACCAAGCAAGATTCTCCAGGAAAGGTAGAGGAAAGAAGCTCCATGAGGATAGGTTCCACTGGTAATGCAATGTCCAATGTAGGGGCTGTATATGTCCATGGCCAAGTGGAGAGAAGCTATACTTCCCAAAAGAGATAGAACCTCCCACACAAAACTAGATGAAGAGAGATATCTAAGAATGGTAGTAAGGAAAGCATGAAATCAGGAAAATTGGGAGCTAAATAGGGAGATAGCCAACAAAAAATCTGACCGCCAAACCAGCAAAAGATACTCCAAGTGCTAGACATAAAAGAAACAAAAGGGAAAGTTGACTATATGCAAGGAAATAGGAATCAGTGAGACAGGGGGGACAAGGTATGAAATTACATGAAAAAGAAGTTGGCATGAATGGAAATATCGGGTGAGGGGGAAAACGAAAGAAATTGCGAGTGGAAAGGTTACATAAAAGGGAACAAAAAGTGTCATAGGTTATGGGGACAGAAAAAGAATAGTACATACCTAAGTAAAGAGGTTCTGAAATCTCAAAGAAGATTGGAGTTCTTCAAAATCCATGTAAATACACAAAGCAAAGCCTGGAGGTGGAAAAAGCCACTCAAAATCGTCCTCCTTACAATCAGTATCAAAGACAGGGGAAGGAAAATGCATGATACGGACTGAAATAGAAGGTCCAGGCAGAATCATGGACCCTACTACATGTTGGACAATGGCTGTCAAGTCTTCTACAGATATAAGACTTCCAGATTTGTTGTGAATGATATTCAGTGTGAGTGATATTTTTACAAATATTAGTTGAAGAAAAAGTTACATTGAATTGTGATTTCATAATGTTCCTTATGTCCAAAACTTTGTAAATACCTAATTTTTATGGAACATCCAGTTATTACTTTGTGCAAGTAATCCTTATATTTCACTCTAGAAATAACTATTGTACTGTACTCCAACAAACTGATGTATAACATGGCATGATGCTTTTCTTTTAATGGATTTTGATCTCTCTCTCGGACATAAACTGCAAAAGAAATTTTCTGAAAGCGGTATAATTACTGACAGAAAAACTCCCAATTTCAAACTGTTAATTTCTAAGAGCATCTCTAACAACCTCTTACAGTTTCACTATGCCACACTGGTAGTTTTATTAACTTTCTTTTTTCTTTTAAAACTTTCTTACTAAAATTAAGTATTTTTGTAAGTTATGTAATTGTTTCATGTATATATATAGCTTAATTCCACATTCATCAAATTACAAATACACTTCAGTTAGAAACCAAGAATCTGGAATAAACAATTTCTTTCAGCAGAATTTTAGAATAATATAATTTCCCAAATTTCACTAACATTCTTCATCATTTATAGTATTCATAAAATCTGTCTTTCTTAATTTCCTACAGTTCCTGATAACTTCCATGATATGAAGCACAATTATTTAAAGTTGCAGTTCGAATTCAATGATGTTATGATTATGTGATGTTCAGGTTAACTACTAAAAATGGTTGTTAACATCATCTTTGATTAGCTCATTTAGTACTGTAGTAATCTATCTTTTTTAACTTGGGTCAGTTTCAAACACAAGGCCATTGACACACCAAGAAAGTATTCTTATCAAATGAGTTAAAGAGCTAACTAACTAAAAAGTAAGGCATTATTTAAAATATCAAGCCTACCATGTAATTACAATATTTCAAGAACTACAAAACACTGCAGAACATTAGGTTAACTACAAACAATGGTTGTAAGAGCCAGCCATAGATATCTCAGATACACACAGTATTGTAGTGATCGAAATAATTAAGACTAATAATCATATTTTAACATAACAAGGGAACATTTAGTCCTTCAAGGCTCTCCTTGCCCATTTGCTTTTTAGAAAAGTAAAAATTTAAACCCACCCTTCTTTTTTATGAAATTGTAGATCCCCCCCATACTCCTGTAAACTTAAAGTTAAAGTGCTGATCTCCACTACAACTTGAACAGAGAAATGTTTATTGTATGATTACTGGATAACAAAATAACACAATATATTATTGGAAAATCAACATTTTTGGATAATACTAGCAAATAAGCACATTTCACTCAACTGATATTTATACACATTACACAGGCAGGAAACAAGAACTATAGTAATGAGCCATCCACCACACTACAATATATCTAGAACTTTTAGCAGTCATGAGTAGCATGCTATATAATCTAGGTCTTGTGTATCACATGCTAAGCATATCACTTATAAACCATTATATCACAAGGTTCTAATGCATACACATCATGATACTAGAGGTTTAACAAAATGCAGCAGTTAGCCTAGTTGGGTAACAAACATGAGAACTTAAGTGAAGTTAAGAGCAAGATGAGAAAGTTTATCCATTATATTTTCAAAGAATTCAAACTAAAAACATAAACCGCATCATTGAGCAAATCCTTTCATAAGTTGGTATAACTCAAGAAAAATTGTAATAATTTTGTGAAAAACAAGCCTGCACCTGGATCGCTCTAAAACATTAATACTGAGCTTAAAATATTTTCATCCTAACATTCATACCAATCATATGAAGACTGTCCAACCTCTGAATATTTTTAATGAAATTACATCACCTCTAATTCTTCTATTCTCCAGAGAAAACAAGCCCAAAACTTTATGCCTTTCATCACAGCTTTATTTTTTTTATTCCTGGTATCATTGTAGTAGCACATCTCTGACCTCTTTCCAGCATTTTGATATCATTCCTACAGTAAGACCAAAACTTCAATTATTTCCACCAAATAAAATCACCAGTCTTATTCAAGGTTGTAATAACCTCTTTATTCTTAAAATCCACATTTTGATAAACAGGATTCAGAACTCCTATTTTCTCTTATAACCACAGCTAAGTAGTAAGACTTTAGGGTTTTAATAACAATCACACCCAAATACTTTTTTTAGGAAAGAAATAAGTATTTTTCTAATTTACAGTTTCACAAGTGAATTTTGCTGTATTAAATCTAATTTTTCCATACATTGACTCAGATTAGCTGAAGGTTCTTTTGGTAAAACAAAAAACAATTTTTAACAGAATCAATTCCTTCAAGAGCAACAGTAATAGCATCATCAAATTTAAAACATTACTGTTCAAAGTTATATAAATTGATAATAATGAGAAATATAAGTTTTAAAAACAGGCCCCTGAGGAATCCCAGAATCAATAGGTCAACTGTAAATTTATCACTACTCTTTGGTTTCTATCTACTTTTTAACTTTCCTACTAACTCCATAATATTAATAGCCGACTTATACTAGTTTAGTAGTTATAAATTAATATATCGGTGATGTTATATGACTTTACAAAGAAAACGAAATGATTATTATGTTTGTGAGAAAATGGTTAAATGCTTATGAGAGAATTTATATCACTAAAATTTACAAAAAATATAGTTTGTAATTTATTACAGTTACCTAATATGAGAAAAAACAACAACAAAAAAAACATGCTTATATGCACTTCTACAGTTTGTTCAATCAGGTTGTATGTACAGACAGGTTGATTAAAATGTCACCACCACCAACAAAAAAAAACAACTAAAATAAGAATTTATCAATAAATTAGCTGTCAAATAATGAGTAGTTATTATTTCTTTATTTTCTCTTTTTAATGTAGTTGCCATATGAGATCGGTGTCCAAGTACAAACAACTGTACAGTTGTCATTATTTTTTTGTGGGAGCAAGTTCCACAAACATGTTTTCCTGAACGGTACAGGTATATGTAAAACATGAACTACAAGGTTAATGGCCTGAGCAGTCTCCTTTACGATATAACACAAAAACAAAACAGGTGTGATGTTTTATTATCTAGAAATTTAAGTTTAAATTGTTCAGCAATAAAACTGCTTTGATTCAATTATTTGTGTATCTCCAAAAATGCTAAATTTGTTTAATAACCAAATTAACTATCAGTGTATGAGACACCTACCAAACATTCCTCCCCCCTCCTCATCCCCCCCAACAAATCTAGTTGAAAGCCCGTTATAACATCATATAATAAACGTGAACTGTACGTTTGACTATAACAAATGTCATGTTGATGCAATGAATTTATGTTAAGGGAATTTCGGCCTATATACAATGGAAGAGCCGCGTAATTTCTAATTATCATAAAACAATTCTACTGTACAATTCTCATGAAACATAAAAGTTACTTCAAAACATGTACATGAAATTTACTTGCTTATGTGATAAAACTCCATTAAAACAATTTTAAAAAACATTAGACCGCGATAAGAAACTCTGAGATGGTGGTCCAGGAATATGCATTTATAAGTTGTATATATACTGTTGCGTATCTAGTCGTTTGTTAATTTCCCGTAGAAATTCTTTCTGAGAAACTTCAGCAATACAAGTCCTTTCTTAAATAAAACTAGTTTATTCTTTCTCGATACAACTTTGCAATACAAAGATTTTCCACAGTCACTTTAACTTAAACACACGCTATAATTCACAACTAACGATTCACGCACTTAACTACTTTTATAAACACACGCTATAATTCACAACGATTCACACAC